GCGTGGCCTGTCCTTCTCAACTCAACTAACGAATGTACGGCCGCGCCATGTGCAAGACACGCGTATTTCCTTCCCACACTAATAATACTCCTTCATGCCCCTGCTGTATCTTGCCTGCGCCCGTGCAGCTACGCCAGCATCTTCAACAGGGACAACTCGGACTACTGCTGCCCCATCTACCGCACGGGGCCATGATTGCCGTAAAAGCAGTTATGGCGCTGGAGAGCGCAGCAGCCGGAAGTAGGGGTAGAAGTTGTTGTTGTTGCTACAAGTGCAGCAGCAAGCAGAAGATAAGGAGCACTATATGGCATCTTAGTACTGCATGAATGAACTGACATACAGACATGTTTACAGATCATCAGTCGGCAGATGTTTCACTTTATCTCTTCGTTCGGTTGCAGCAGTCGATAGATAGATAGATAGATAGATAGATAGACGAGCTAGACAGTATGATTGATCTGTTGGACGGAATCGTTTCCTTTCCCCGACACAACTGCTCATAGAAATATTTTCTTTAATGATTGATCGATGTACCACAATTCCTCTCGAACAGTTACGAGGCTAGGCACGCGGACAGGCGGGCTAGGCAGGTGCTGCTGTGCTGCGTATGTCTATTAGGATTGTGGCCCAGGGGTTTCTATGGTGGGTTTGCATGTTGCCATAGACGCCGCGGCCGAATGTGCACGGTTTATTAAATGATAATGTGGCTTGTGAAACTATCGCAAGTAGCTCGCGAGCAGCGGCTTGTTGGTCAAGTGGACTGAGTCTGAGCATGACGTGGTGGGACGCGGTGCGGTCTATTTGGAGCACTAAAGTACATCTCGTCATCAGCAGGCTCTGCTGGGTCCTGCGGGTGGCGCAAGTTTGAAACGAACGCGCGGTGGCACATTGTCGTGGGTGTCTTCACCAAGGAGTTCCAAATCCTAAGAACAGGGTTAGCCCAATGGAACTGCAGTGGCGTCTGAGGTAGCTGACGGTAGAGACAGATCATGGTGATACAGTAACCGTTATCTGGGGCACATTGTGGCGACTGGAGCCGCATGACCGTCCCCGTCACTTTGTAACCGCTCAAACTGCACGATGACTCCAACCCACAACGTCTTCAATGCGGCAGCTTGCGACGGTTTCACGGATCCTCCGAACTGCTCCAGTATATTGGGATCCACTTTTTCATAAATTGACATCATGAGTCGCAGACATTTTATGACTCCCACCAGTCACATCCTGCACTTGGCTTTTGCAAACTATGAACTGTTCCATGACCGGATCCATGACTTAATGACTAATTATGACCAGTGATTTTTTTTTCATTTAGGGGGGGTTCTCAATTTATTCCGACCTAAGTAACAAAGTTGGCTAGCGTCGCCGTAATGTATTCCTTAAGACCCCCCCCGATAACTTACAACTCCCCTCATAGACCAAGAGGCACGCACTGCGTTGGCGCGTTTTCGTTCATGTGCGCACTCTTCATGCACATGCATAGATAATTCTGGCACTGTTTGTGAACATAAAGTAAATCCGCGTAAATGCGCTGTGTCTGAGCCCGCTTGGCACTGCGAGCGCTCGGGTTGGGCGCCTCGCCGCATTCGTTGTTGTCGAGCTGATTGGATGACAGCTTGCGCTTATGCTGATCACAACCGCCATGGAAGGCAGGGGTAATGGCGCCCGTGTCATCGGTCGCCGCTGGCAGCAACACCATTGCCGATACATTACCGACAACAGCACCGCCGTCCCAAACGCCATTATCAGGAAACATTTCCGGCTTATCTTGCTGTTTTGGTGTTTGTTCGGCGTTCAAGTCGTTGCCTTTTGCGAGTTTGGCTATGTAAGGAGCGGTCATACATTCTGCTATGCCGCGTTGACTCACGGGCTTGACCTTCTTACGGCCCCTCATATCTATTCTATGATCGATAATACCAAGTTCTGCACACTACGGAGCAATCTGGCAGCAATGAACGTTTTTGGCTGGAGGAATGAAAATGTACGGATCGGGCTCAATTTGTTCCTTATTTCCAAAGGCCAAAATGGCCTCTTTATTCCTTAAAAGGAATATATTACTTAAAAAACACTGATTATGACCAGATCCATGACCACATACATGACCGGATCCATGACTGGAAAACCCATCCATGACCAAGTCGTTCCCCGAGAGATAGCAGCTTTGGATCGACTCGTCGCTTGTGAGAGCCTACCTGGTTATTTAGACGGATTTAGCGACTAGACCACTTATGAAGGTGTTGATAAACACCGGGGGTTTCCCTTGGGGTTTTATAGTCGCTTGCAGTCCGTCTGAGGCGCTCGGGATAATATGCCGTACAGTAGTAGATATTCCTGCAGAAGAGAGTCGCACCTCCAGGGAAGAGTTACAATACAGGTCTGGCCGTGAACGGGCAGACGTGTACAAGATGGTGTACGGAATCGAGTATGTGCACGGATCGTTACAGCCATGGCCGTAGCCATGTACTGCTGAGTACGGCTGTAGTCGAAAGATGACTAAGATAAGATAGTTTTATGTACTGTGTGTACGATATTCGCCTCGGCGATGGAATGATAAGAAGGAATGGAGTCCCTACTCGGAAATGTCTTAAGTCCTGAGTCAGGCTCCTACACTGGGCACACATTGCCATCCAGTGGATGGCCATGCGAATCACAGTGGTGACCAGCCTAAGGTAGCTAAGGACTTGGCCGTTATCATCGGTAGATTGCTCACCCACCTTCTTCGACCAGGAAAACATCCTCATCACTGGTGCACAGCTCGTCATAGCGATGAATGTTGCAGGGGTGCAAAGGCAAGTCCCACCACACCATTACGAGCAACCTTAGGACCGTGTTCCCCCGGTTAGACACGGGACGTTTCAGGGGCTAGATATACTGGTCCAATAAGCAGGGTGCTATTGATGCAGGCGGTAATGTTGTAGCACCCTCCCTCATCCGACGTACCTCACTCCCTGCACATGTAGAGCCCCGGGAGTCCCTGGTATAGAGGCCAATGGGAGCATGTGCCGTTGTTGGGCATTCGAGGGGTGCGTGACAGCGTTGTGGCATCGGTAGGGTCGTGCCGAGTTGTGAAGACGGGTTCCTGTAATGGGCCTTATCATGCAGTAGGTTTCTTGTGGTTTCCGAGGCCGAGGTCATTTTGCCGGGGTGTACGGCATTGTTGTGGGTTGCGGGAAGTTGTACAGGTAAATGCATCGGCCGCTTTTATCAGCCTTGTTTAAATATAATTAGACAATCGAGCAAGAACCAAAGTTTGTCGGAAAGAATTTGGGCAGAGGCCGAAGCTCGCCTGGCAAGCACTGCGCTGAAGGGATAGAGAGAGACACGAATAAGAAGTGTACAACGGGGGCTTTGGGGTCCATAGATAGCGGACGCCCTTGCGCTCAGGCATCAAGTCCCGGACATGGGCCTTAAGACCTGGAGTTGCTGGGCTATTCCCTCTCGCCCCTCCCCGCTCTGACCACTATCCCTCTCTCCAGTTCCCTCTCAGTTCGGGTGGTGCAACGCCAGGCCCCTCGCCACACACACCGCACCGCACCCACGTTTGTTAGGCGCTAGCACGCGGTTGTCTAGAGGTGTAGTAGTTCCTAGGTCTATGTTGATGTGGTTTGGTCCCGTTGCTGATGCAACTGGCTTTCGCATCATTAACCGCCGAGTAGCAGCCGTAGCTACCGGTGCGAAAACGATGCATGCTCACCAACCTAAATGATGAAGGGTGTGTGGCGAAGTTATATTCATTATGCCAGGATCAGAGCTGTTGGTCAGTAAATATCAAGTTATATAAAAGAAATGGTGCTACAGATTACAACGACGGGTCGGATTCCGACACGTACAACACGAGCAACATCCCAACGGATGAAATGCACAACTACATGTGTCCGCGATTAAAGCATGTTGGGCCGTGTTTCTGAGATTTATATTCTACATAAACATATTGATTCCAAAGGACGGAGCGCCTCTGTTGCGGTGGCCAGTCTCGGAAGCGGCTACCTGCGCCCGCCGTTTACGGTAGACGTACGGCCCAGAAGCAGCACAGCTGCCGCGGTCGGTCGGGTAGATAAATAGCGCAACTATGATACAGAACATCATCAAAGTAATATAGCTCTGACAATATGGCATCCTTTGCAAAGGCGGCTTTCATTTTGGCGACAGCGCTGGCGGTTGGCTGGTGCGTATTTAGCATGGTGCATTCCCATATGCCTGGGCTTACAATCTGAGGCTGGGTCTATAAGTATATTTAAGAGCATGCCATATACATGAAGGCTTTCAAGTCTTTGCCTTTGCGTCGCAAAAGACGTACATGTCCTGTCGCATGCCATAGTGATGAGCCTTTTCTATAAAGCAATACATAAAAGATAGACGTATACAATCATAACTCGATCATGAAACAGCAAGCGTCAACCATGAGCACTGATCTTGCTTGCTGCTTGTCGCCGCTGGTTCCAGGGCGCTCAGCGCTCATGCGCAGGAATACAACGAGTACGATCCCTCAGCTGTCACGCCTGGCAGCATCCCCAACTTCCCATTCCGCAACTGCAACACCACCAACGGCGCGTACCGGCTGGCACCGGTGTGGCGGCCTTCGGGCAGCAACACGTACTGCTTCAAGATCCAGGTCAGCCAGGATGCCCTGTCCTGCACTGGCGCCTGCTGCAGCGCCGACTTGCACAAAATTGAGGTGCGCCCACGGCCGGCTGATGGTGTGGGGGATGCGACATGCAGACATATTGCTACAGGTCCTAGGGCCTCGGAAAGCACGGGAAGAGGCTCATTGGCGGCGGCCCACTACCCAACGTCAACGATTATTTCCTTGTCGTTTCTAATGTGTGTGTCTGTGTATGTGCGCATGATGTCGGTGTTGGGGGCTCCGTTACGAAACGCGCCTTGCAAGATTTATAAAGCATGTAAGGGTTTGGAACGCGCCTGGCAAGATCTATATAGCTCATTTGCATGTACTGGACAGAATGGGAAGTTCGCACCCTCAAAAGTAGAGGGAACATCAAAATGTGATGTTCCCTCCTGCCTCACCTTGCCCTCACTCCATCCTCCCACCACATGCCACCCCGCCATGTCCGCAGTTCAACGTGTCCAGCAGCTGCCTGGTGGCCGGGGCTTCAGTTGTCGCCACCGTGAATGGAGTGCGGACCCGGGTTGGTGCGGCCCTGGACAAGGCCCCGGCTGGGCCTGTTGGCTCCGCCGTTCTGCGGCTCACCCAGCTGGGGCTGGACACCACGACCGCCCAGGATGCGGAGGTGTGCCTCACCCTCAAGACCAACCGCGGAGGCCAGGGCTGCACCACCCTGGAGCAACTGTGCTCATCGCCAGGCTTTCCTGCAGGGACATGCACAGCAGCTATGTTCGATGTCGCGTGTGACTGCTGCCCAGTTTCTCAAGCCGGTCAGGCCCTCCCGCCACCGCCACCAGTTATTCCGCCGGTCTTACGCCCTTGTGACGTCTGCATCGCCGCGACCATTGTGCCCCCGGCCAATGATGTGCGACCATACCGCTACGACAGCGCCACCTGCGCCGCCATTCAGCAGAACATCGCCAATGCCATGAACTCTCTCCTGGGAGGCGCCAACATCAACGTCTTCTCACCTTTCGCGCCAAATGCAAGCCAGTGCTTTGACACACAAATCATTACATGTGGCAGGTTCAACGGTTCGGACACTGATGCGTTGGCCAATCTGACGGAAGCGGTGCAGCAGCAGCTTTCCGCCTTCATTGGAGTCGCGTCTGGCGGCAACGTCTGCAATCCAAAGTTGGAGAAATACACGGTGACGGTCTCCACCATCAACAATGTAGCAGATCAGTGCCTGGACCTCTCGCAGTCGGCTAGTTGCTTCCTGCCTGGCGTTCCATTCCCCAACTGCACGTGAGTCACCCTACTTCATGGCGTCGTCTCTTTTGCGGCGCGGCCGCCCTCCGTAAAGGTTTTGGGGCGAGGATGTAGGGCCTAATAA